AGCGATGGTGAGAGCGTTTCGGTACGCCGCGGCGGTGTTCTTGGGTGACCGCTCAGAGAGATCCGGAGGGTTTTCTTTTCTTTGGTAGAAAGCAGGGTCCCGCTTCGGCTCTGTGTAGTTGTCGTCTTCTCTCTACTTTTGCACGAGATTAGTTGGCCGAGCTCTCAAGACAGGAAAGGGCAGAAAAAAGTGTCGTCCTTGGCGCCTAAAACAACTAACGGCGTGCTTTTTTCCCCTGTTTGTTTGAGCGTTTGTTGAGAGCTGGGCCAGGTGAATGGTTTCTGCCTTGAACTGGATTATCTTGGCTACTGTAGCACTGTGTTAACTGGTCTGAACCGAATCCTGCTTTAGCGGTGGAACACAGCAGTGCGTACAAATCGCCGCTCTGAACAGAAGGCCTAGCCCTACCTCTGTGTTTTGTAACTTCAGCAGGGCCTTCTGAAATCCCGTCATGGTGACAGTCCACACCTAAAGAATCCCGTTCACCAATAAGTTAGTGTAATTTGCACTTCTCTTTGCCACGAAAATCAATCTACAGTCCCCCCAGAAGCTGAAATATCCTGTTATCCAACTGGACAAAGCAGGAAAGTTGCCGTATTTATTTTTTCTTGTTAAACTTGAAAAAGTAGTTTCATTAGTAGTTTTGACTCCGCTCTTTCTAGGTTCTAAGCTGTGTGCGCGCACACTCGTTGTAGATATGTTATGCACTCAGTTTCTGGTAATGTAAATGTATTTTATTTCCAGAGTGAATTGGCTAAGTAAAAAGCATAAATGGGATAAGTAAAAAGCGTATCAAATGCAAATAGGTGTCTACCACTGTAAGGACTTCTTTGCCGTTTTAGTAACTCTTCCACTAGAAAGAGACCCACTGCTCTCTGCCACCCAACGGTCGACATCTACTTGCTTCAAGTGGCTTTTCTGTATCGCAGTGTAGTTTGACTGAACTTTGCCTCCAAGTGTGCAGTTGCCCGACAGTGTGTCATGGCGTAAAAGGTGTGGAAAATGAACAGAATAGCAAACGCACACTGTAAGGATTTCCCTTTCAGAGACTGAATGAGAAGAAATGCTTGTTTAATGATGGGGAAAAAGTTGTTGACATTAAAATGATGGCGTGAAACGTACAAATGAATGGGGCGGACGTGGCGCCCGTGACCCGCAGTTCCCCGGGCCCGAGCACCGGCCGGTATTCCTCTATGTTTTGAGAATTTGGCCAACCACTCTGTGTGAAAAATGAAGGATATTCCAGCAGGGAAAAGAAAAAACAAACAAAAAAACCCCCACCAAAACCAAACCGAAAGCCACAAACTGTCCAGGGTGCTGCAGCCGCAGCGCCCGCGGCCCGCGGCCACGCCGGGGAGGAGCCGCCCTCTTCCACCTGCGCCCTGGCTTGGTGCTTCTGGGGCCCCCCTGGAGCTTTTTGAGACATTCGGGGGCTTTAGCAGGTCCAGGGGTCTGACAGCCGCCTGTATGGACGTGCCTGTCCGAGGTCTAACCCTCAAGCGTGTACAGGCGAAACCGGAAACTCGCGGTGAATACTTTGTGACACTTGCAATATTTTGCTGGGCTGTCTGGTGTTTTCTTCATAATTCATTTATAAAAATAAGTCAGGAAATGTTTGGGGTTTTTTGTGCGTAAGTAAATATTAATTTTTTGAGCGTTGGACGTCTAGCTGATTCTTAGCTTAAGAATCGGAATAGGAAATAACTTGACACTACGCATTTTAGGTATACACCATTTGATTGGTTTATGTGGTGAGCGGGTTTTTCTTTTCTTTTAAAAAAAAAGTTAAAATTACTGACTTTACTCAATAATCATGTATGCAAATAGTGGCTTACTACAATGAAATACTTGTTAAATAACCTTTCTCTATTTAAGACACCTCTAGTATTCTGGGAGGGCTGCTTCATTCACAGAAAGCGAGAGTGCTTTTCATCCAGGTGACCAGTTATAGCTAATGAGAAAATCAATAAAATTTACACTGAATAACAGTCAACCTAAAACTTGTAATTGGGTGTTACTTCCCCTTTCCTCGACTCTCCCCACCACCGTCCCCCACCCTCGACACAGACAGTTCTCACAGTAAAGAGTGAAAATCCTGGGGGGTTCTCAATCCAGCAAATTACACCTTTCAAGAAAGTATTGCTGGCTACAACAAATAGTACATATCAAAATACTTTTGATATATGAGTCTAAACATCAGATTTTGTATTTTCATTCCTGTATCTGAAACCGGAAGAAAATGAACTTTACTTTCAAAATATTCTGTGTTCTACTACATGTCTCCTGGTCTTTGAAGAATATTTTAAATAAATTGCTTTGTATTGCAGAAGTTTGCAGTCAGGAGTTGTTTGGGTTATCAGTTCACATTTAGCCATTCTACACAGTGAGTTTTGGTTTCGCTTTTAATATCTAAGTAAACTCACTCATTTTTTTGAAAAGAATGCCGTCCTGTAATTAAGGTCTTACTATTAAACTTCCTATTGAGTTGTATTGGGATTTTTGAAAATTTTGTAGAAAATGCTGAGAATTTTGAGTTTTAGGACATTTGGAAAATCAGTATTTTTTTTATAGTATCAATGAATACGCATTTTATATCGTTAGGATGTCATGTTATGTTAGGATGTATGCTGTTTAGAAGTTCTGTATCAGTGTTGTCTCATTATAAATCCATCTTCAATTTATTTCTTAAAAAATATCCTTGAAGTCTGTTGTCTTTATGTATTGTTTTCTTGTCTTGGTATGTATCACGTATCAGTAATGGCTAAACAATAAATATAAGTCAGACAAATATTTCAATGTATTACATACTCAACAAGATGACATAAATAAATTGCTGTAGCTCTGTTGAATCACTGGAGTAACCAAGTAACTGAGAATCTGGATATACATTTCTGGTTTTCTGTTTTAAATTTAATTTAGATTTTTTTTTATTTTTATGAAATTTTGCTTTTGCACATTATAAAGCAGTGGTTTTATTTACAGGGATTGTTCTTGGCAATATCTAAAGCTTCTTGGTTTGCAGAATATCATTTTTATATGCAGTGTGACACAAAACTGTTCAAATAATTAATAGAGAACTGTATTGGCTTGATGCTGGAAGACACAGCTCCTCATAATGACTTGTCAGCTTTCTATCAGGGGAAATACTCAAGTTCTTGTTCTTAAGACAGCAGGCAATCGCTCTATGGAATAAAAGAAAATTCTGGCTACTTCTGATTAGGAACTGGGTCAAATAACTAAGTAGGACATATAAATGTAAAGGGGTTTAGTTGTGGGGGTTTTTTGGGTTTTTTTTTTTTGAGAGATAGAACTTATGTCTTTGTGATAAGTACCAGAGGCCAAGGCTTTCTTGGCAGAAGTATTTATTAATATTTGAACAAAACACCAGTTATAATTTTTGGCACAGGTTTCTTTAACCCAGTGGAAGTTCAGAGTGTTCAAAATGTGGCCTTCCTTAGTGCTAGTTAAAATATTGAAATGTGCAATTCAGGTAAGTGCATTATAATGAAAATAAAAAAATAATTCAGTTTTCCTCCTAGGATATCAAAAAATAAAAACACACCACCTTTTTTTATATCAACATTGCTAAAAAGAAAACTTTAGCTGATGTCATGAGCTGACATGCTCAACATGTACACACAGCTTTTTTTTTTCTTTTTGTTTCACAAATTACGTATCATTTAATAACTTCTGATTTGAGGTTTATGATATTGGTATCAGAAATATCTAAGAAAATAGCTGCATTATAATACTGCTTAGTTGAAAAGCATATATATAAACCCAAATAAAGGGTTTCATCATTAAACATAGATGGTGTAGTTGCTAGGCATATAGAGATTCTGTTACTAGATTTTTATTTTTTTTCTGGATCAGAGACGTGTTCAACTACTTTTATTTGAGTAAGAGGATGACTGCAAGTTCTTTAAAACAATTAAAATCACATTTGTTCTCATTTATCTGGAAATATCAAAGCTTATATGAATCATGACTTTTCCAAGAACTTTTTCTTAAACAGCATATGTAGTCTAATTAGGTTTTGATTTAAACTCTCAGTTAAGCTGGCAGAAAAGAGCAGATGAGAAATACAAAACTAAAAGCTCAAGTGATAAAAGAACCCTTCTGTTACAAAAGGTCACATAGACCAGCATCTGCCACAAAGTTAGACATTTCAATTGCACATCTTAATCAGACGATATTTATATTATATGCAAGAGTGATACCTAAGCTAATCAGAAGAAACTCTTACAAATTAAGCCTTCAAAAATCTGTACTGAGGGTCAGTGTCTAATACAAATGAGAAACAATAAACATTAATTACTGAACTGATGCCTTTTCAGACGTGTTGAAATTTAGATATTTATTTTAAATCTCTTTTTAAAATGAATAATAT